GGCTGTTTCGCACTAGGTGCACGATACAAGGTCAGTTATTTGAATTAATTATTGATAGCGACAGTCAGGAAAATATTATCGGCAGGGATGTGGTACGAAAATTGCAATTAATTCCTGAGAAACACCCAAACCCTTACACGATTGGTTGGATCAAGGAAGTCGGGGGCGTACGCGTGGAGGAACGCTGTAAGGTTCCATTCTCTATTGGTAAGTATACTGATGAGGTTTATTGTGATACTGTGGATATGGATGCTTGCCATATTTTGCTTGGTAGGCCTTGGCAGTTTGATGCAGATGCCAAACACCTGGGTAGAAAGAACACATACCAGCTCGAGAAAGAGGGTGTGCGCTATACACTATTACCTATGGCAGAAAAGAACCCAACCAAGGCTTCAAAGGCAGAAGAGAGGAATTTTCTTACCATAACACACCACCACTCTGAATTTGTAAGAGAATGTAAGGATACCCGCGAGGTCCACTTACTGGTGATAAAGGGGGAAAGTGTGAGTGAATCACTAGGGTGTGCACTATACAAAATTCCCGTGGAATTGCAGGGACTACTCGACGAGTTTCATGACGTAGTTCCTAACGAGTTACCTAATGAGCTCCCACCCATGCGAGACATCCAGCATCACATTGATTTTGTTCCTGGTGCTAGCCTACCTAATCTGCCACACTACAGAATGAGTCCTAAAGAGAACAAGATTTTACGGGAGAAGGTAGAAGAACTGTTGAGAAAGGGGCACATCCAAGTCAGCATGAGTCCATGTGCAGTACCGGCATTATTAACACCGAAGAAAGATGGGAGTTGGAGGATGTGTGTCGACAACAGAGCAATCAACAAAATCACTGTTGGCTACAAGTTTCCCATTCCTAGGCTGGATGACATGCTTGATCAACTTGATGGGGCTGTGGTCTTTTCCAAGATCGATCTCAGGAGTGGTTATCATCAGATCAGAATCCGTTCCAGAGATGAATGGAAGATGGCTTTCAAAACCAGAGATGGATTGTTCGAATGGTTAGTCATGCCTTTTGGACTAACTAATGCACCCAGCACCTTCATGAGACTAATGAATCAGGTACTACGCCCTTTCATTGGTAAATTTGTTGTGGTATATTTTGATGATATCTTGATTTACAGCAAATCTGCCGATGAGCACATAGGACATATCCGAGAAGTATTGAGTGCATTAAGGGAGAACAAACTATATGCTAATCTAAAGAAGTGTACTTTTATGACATGCTTGATCAACTTGATGGGGCTGTGGTCTTTTCCAAGATCGATCTCAGGAGTGGTTATCATCAGATCAGAATCCATCGCAGAGATGAATGGAAGACGGCTTTCAAAACCAGAGATGGATTGTTCGAATGGTTAGTCATGCCTTTTGGACTAACTAATGCACCCAGCACCTTCATGAGACTAATGAATCAGGTACTACGCCCTTTCATTGGTAAATTTGTTGTGGTATATTTTGATGATATCTTGATTTACAGCAAATCTGTCGATGAGCACATAGGACATTTCCGAGAAGTATTGAGTGCATTAAGGGAGAACAAACTATATGCTAATCTAAAGAAGTGTACTTTTATGAGCGATAGTTTGTTGTTCTTGGGGTTCATAATAAGTAAGGACGGAATTAAGGTGGATGAGGAGAAAGTGCGAGCCATTAGGGAGTGGCCAACCCCAACGAACGTCACAGATGTAAGGCGTTTTCATGGGTTAGCAACTTTCTATAGGCGGTTTATCAAACACTTTAGTAGCATTGTAGCTCCTATCACTGAGTGTTTGAAAAAGGGTAAGTTTCAATGGGGAGAAGAACAAGAGCAAAGTTTTGCTCTCATAAAAGAGAAGTTGTGCACCGCTCTTGTCTTAGCACTGCCAAGCTTTGACAAATTATTTGAGGTAGAGTGTGATGCTAGTGGAGTCGGCATAGGGGCTGTGTTGTCACAAGAAAAGAGACCAGTTGCCTTCTTCAGTGAAAAGCTATGCGAAGCCAGGAAGAACTAGTCCACTTATGATAAAGAATTTTATGCTGTTGTAAGAGCATTAAAGACCTAGGAACACTATTTGATTGCTAAAGAATTTGTCCTCTACACCAACCATCAAGCTCTTAAGTATTTAAGTAAGCAAAAACAGTTGAGGAGTGATCTACATGCAAGGTGGTCTGCTTTTATTGATAAATTCCCATACAAAATTGTGTATAAGGTTGGGCAACAGAACACAGTGGCCGATGCTTTGAGCAGGCGTGTGGCCCTCATCAAGACTCTTAGTATCAAAATTGTGGGCTTTGAATGTTTGAAGGATCTGTACGCCCAGGATGAAGACTTCAAGCAGGTTTGGGAAAAATGCATGAATCAACAACCAGCGGGTGATTTCTACGTACATGATGGCTTTCTTATGAAGGGGGACCAACTGTGCATTCCTTGCATCTCCCTCCGCGAGAAAATCATCAGGGATTTGCATGGAGGTGGCTTAGCAGGACACCTCGGGAGGGACAAGATGATTGAGGCTGTCAAGGGGCGTTACTACTGGCCTAAATTGAGAAGAGATGTGACCACTATTGTGAGTAGGTGCTATATATGTCAGACGGCTAAGGGACAGACCCAGAATATTGGCCTTTACATGCCTTTACTTGTTCCTACGGCGATTTGGGAAGACTTGTCTATGGATTTTGTGCTAGGCTTACCGAAGGCTCCAAGAGACATGGACTCCGTCTTTGTGGTTGTTGATCGGTTTTCCAAGATGGAACATTTCCTCCCATGCAAGAAGACCGCGGATGCAACAGCGACAACCAAACTATTCTTTAGGGAGATTGTCCGTTTACATGGGGTGCCTAAGACCATCACGTCGGATCAAGATACGAGGTTCTTAAGTCACTTCTGGATGACATTGTGGAGGCTATTTGACTCACCCTTGAATTTCAGCAGTACAGCTCATCCGCAGACTGATGGACAGACAGAAGTGGTAAGTCGAACTCTGGGTAACCTGATCTAGAGCATTTGCAGAGAAAGGCCGAAGCAGTGGGACTTTGCCATAGCGCAAGTAGAGTTTGCCTACAACAACGTAGTTCATAGCTCTACAGGCAAATCCCCATTTTCTATTGTGTATATGAAAGTACCTAACCATGCGTTGGACTTGGTGAAGCTGCCCAGGGTACCAGGCCTTAGTACTTCAGCAGAGCAGTTAGCCGGACAGATCCAGTCGGTACAGGAGGAAGTACAACAGAAACTTCAAAGGACCAATGCAAAGTATAACCTTGCATCTGACAGGCATCGCAGGTGCCAGGTGTTTGACGTTGGTGATGAAGTCATGGTGTTCTTAAGGAAGGAACGCATACCCGTGGGGAAACATAGCAAGCTACAGCCTCGGAAGTACGGCCCATACAAGATCATTAAGAAGATCAATGACAATGCTTACGTAGTGGACTTGCCAGATCACATGGGTATCTCCAAAACATTTAATGTCGCTGATCTTCATCGTTATTTACCGGAAGCGACACTTGCATATCCCGATCATGACTCGAGGTCGAGTTCCTTCCAAGCGGGGGAGAATGATGGAGGTCCAGCTCACGACCCACCGAACCAGCCGGCGACAGCTCACAATTAGAAGGGAACTTGCATCAGATAAGGACATCTAGAGAGAACCATGCAGCGGATAATGTCGACAGCTCACATATCCAACCTGCATTGGATGATGGTGGCTATCGGACGGTGGACGCCAAGTTCAGTTCCTAGTTGTTTAGTTGTTTTACTTTCCTAGTTATTCTACAAGACTACCAGTATGTATTATAAATAGTTCTGTTCTGAGTTTAATGAGACACACAAGAATTTCTTATCACCCTTTTCTCTCTCTACTAAGGCTACGCCTAGTTTTTTTCTTTCGTGAGGCTTCAAGACCGAAGCCGACTCAGTCGTCCGGTCGAGTGCGTCACGCTGTGTCACCAGTCCAAGAAAAAGTAGAAAATGGAAGAGAAGGTAACATCTGACCTCTTAGGAAGTTTCAGTCAATCATCTACCGGCTTCTGGAATCCCTATTGTTGAGTTTCAGCCCAGAAACTGAGGAGAAAGTTGCAGCCGAAGAGCTCTCGGGTCCAGGACAAACTAGTCTTCTCCATTCTCAGTCCAAGGAACATGAAAGGAGTGCTTCAAACAGGAAAGAAAATATTTACAGAGCACTGTCCTGCTCTGATACCATGATTTCAGTCAGGTAGGAAGAAGAGGGAAGAGAAAAAAGAGGGAGAAGAGAAGAAAGAGTTGAGAGAGCCAAAAGAATAGGCTGGCGGCGCCAGACTTTGTATATATAGACTAGGGCAACCATACAAAATAAAAGAAGAAAAGACAAAAATGCCCTTGTGGCACATAGTACATATTACATCACCCACTTTATTTTAAATTTATATGATAGCTTATTTTAATTGTTATTTTTCCATGTAGTTTGGGATATGTGTGGTACTTTTGGCAGTTCTGTTTTGGGGGTATTTAGTTGGTCCTTGTGGCATTTAATATGTGGTGCTTTTGGCAGTTCTGTTTTAAGCATATTATCTGATCCTTTGGTGCATTGGGCATTTTGGAGTTACAATGTACCATTTTAAATTTTTTCTGATGCCATTGTTGGATACCCAAATCCAAGAAAGGCCTTTATGATATTTTTACTTACCCTATTGTTGTGCCCCAAACTCATGGTTTGGCTTGAAGCAGTTGCACGAGGAAATGCTGTAAGGTTCCTGTATTAACACTCTCAGAATGGACTTCTCACTCTAAGTTGCTTTTGATTTACTAGTTGTATTTATCAGAAATTGTTACTAAGAATTTCCACTTTTTGTTTTTACCATCTTTTCTTTGTTTAAATAACACAAAATTAAAAAAAAAAATAAATGTAGTCCCTCACCTTTAATATCTTCTTGGCTACCACTTTAGAACAGGACGAGAACCCTGAAGTTATTGGTGATTTTCAATACTTCTATTTTATTTAATGAATGTAGATGTGTGCTTATATGCAGGTGCTAACAACTTAATACCAATGGAAATTGCTCTAAAAATCGCGAATAAAATCAGAGCAAATGAGAGGTTTGCTGCCTATATAGTTATTCCAATGTGGCCAGAGGGTGTTCCAACTGGTGCAGCTACTCAGAGGATTCTCTTTTGGCAGGCATGCTCCAGCTACTTTCTTGAAGTCCATTCTGAGCCATGAATATAGGGTTTCTTTCAAATAATTCTTCTTTATCCTTTGAACTTAATGGTTAATCTGATTAAATCTCTTTAAACTGCGTGGACCCATCAAGTTTTTGGGGAACAATGATTTAATTATTATTTCTAAATTCACATTAGATTTCAAACTCCAGTGATGATCTTGACTTGCACTTCTTGTCCCTAGTCTATTTAGAGGGTGCTTGCATTACGTGTGAAATGGTGAAGAAGGATTTCCTATAGCTTAGCTCAAGCAGTTCGGATTATGGTTTGATGAAATGAATTGTTTTCTCTACACTACATGCTTATGTAGAGGATGAACTATTGCAACATGATATTCTCTTACACTGTTGATGCATGGGTATGGCGGATCAGTTATTACTCATCAACTCTCTTTTATGTGATTATCAGTTATTACTTGCTGGTCGTTTCTTACTACAAACACTACAAGAATGCAATAGCAAGAGCCCAAACATAAATAGCAAAGCGACTCTTGGTGGAAAGGGGTCAAATGTCAATAGTCTATTTCATGCCTATGTATGTCTAAGACCTTAATTAAGGGTGGGGGCAGGGAGCCTATCTTTATCCATCTCCCAATGTCATTGCAATCACAGAACTTATTGCTTCATATCTTGTGTTTAAACTTTATTATTTTTATCCCCATAACGTAAATATGATTAGAAATTCTGTACATATCTATAGGAAATTTGGTCATGATCCACATGGGAAGATAGACCATCAAAAGACTGAAAAAATGCTTTTAAGGACATTGCACCAACTGTTCAAGTTCTATAGAACTCCGTGATTGAATGTAGATCCTTGTGGATAGACTTGGCAGTTAATACCAAGCTATTTAATGGACCTTCATTGATGTGGACTAGTACTTCAGTTGAATGAAAATTGTTGCATATTCTAGGAAGACAATTTTCAATCTTCAGGATCTTGTTTAGATGCATTTAATTGTGTGTAAGAAATAGCATCAAGGAACATGAGTTGTACTATAAACAAGATGGTAAATTAGGTTCCAATATTAATTTATTTTATTTCAGATAAAGATTGAAGTTTATTCAACTCAATCATGTTCTAATGTGCAGGCATCTCTATCAATGTTTTTTTGGCTCTCTCATCTCTATCAATTTCTTGTTGTTCCATGTGTGAATTCTGTGAGATGCTTTGTGCACCATCTGAGTGCAATTTATTTTCTGTGATGTCAATGTCACATTATTTCTGTCAATCATTAACTATCTCTAAGATTAATTGAACTATAGCTATCTCTTTACACTATGAAGTAGCATTTTGAATGTAATATGAAGGTGTTTTACAACTTAAAGAATACATTTTACAATGTGGGAACTTTACATTTTGTTTAACTGTAGTTATTGTGGCAGAATAAAACAATGCAAATGATGTACGGGACTATATACAAAGCATTGGAAGAGGTTGGGCTAGAAAAGACATATGTTCCAGAAGATTATTTGAATTTCTTCTGCCTTGGCAATCGTGAGGCTGTAGATGGAAACGAAGCTTCCTATGTAGAAAGCCCTAATGCAGAAAACACACCTCAGGTAAACTCACTTATCCCACTATCATTAAATCTCTTCTTGAAATACATATTTTCCTCTGATAGTTTGTTGTGTTTAAACCAGTTGCAAGAAACATGTACATTAGTTGCAATTGTTTCAACCAGAAGTGGATCAACTAATTACATATTCATAACCAAAACTCTTTTTGTGATAATTGCACCAAGCAATATGCTTGGTGTCCCTTTGGAACTGAATTTCATTATTCACAATTTTAGCAAAAAAATATAATAATCCTTCAATTCTGTGCAACTTAAATGTGTTGCTTATCGGTTGCACAGGCACTCTGTCAAAAAAGTCGGCGCTTCATGATCTATGTTCATTCAAAAGGAATGATAGTTGATGATGAGTATGTAATATTAGGATCAGCAAACATCAACCAGCGCTCCATGGAGGGTACTAGAGACACCGAAATTGCTATGGGTGCCTACCAACCTTCACATACTTGGGCAAGAAAACTGCGTTCTCCTCGTGGACAGGTAAGCTACGATCAGATGAAAGCTTTTCAATTTATTAGTTATTCATCTAACTTCAAACACTGATTAATCTTGATTTTGTGTCTTTCAGATATATGGATATAGGATGTCACTGTGGGCAGAGCACATAGGAGCTGTTGAGGAATGCTTTACACAACCAGAGAGCCTAGAATGTGTTAGGAGGGTCAGGTCAGTAGGGGAGTTGAACTGGAAACAGTTTGCAGCTGTGGACGTGACAGAGATGAGGTGCCACCTCCTAAAGTACCCAGTCGAAGTTGATAGCAAGGGAAAGGTGAAGCCTCTTCCTGGCTGCGAGACTTTTCCAGACGTGGGAGGGAGCATAGCAGGAACATTTTTTGCCATCCAAGAAAATCTCACAATCTGATCATTCTTGTCAATCCACTTCCTTCTCTAAGGCCTAATTCCATATTTAGTTGATAAATGATAATTGGTTTCAGTTGATACACAGGTTGAGTAGTTCACAAAACAGATCAATCGAGACAAGATTCATAGTATACAGGGTTTGGGTCCATTTATTGTATAGTGCTCAACATAACAAGGAATGGATTTTTTTTTTTTTTGTGTGTGGGGGGGTTGAAATGGATGTGTTGACTGTAAACCGTGTCTACATTTATTGAAAAGGATTAAGATTTTACGATAAAAAAAGGAGCTCAACATTCGTTTTCATCAAGTTGCAATTCAGTAAGGCCAACTCAATGGACGATTACACTTGGAGAAGTACTGAAGTAGGAGCCACCAAACCACGCTGGACATCAATCTGACTTGCTTTTACCAACCATTGATCAACAGACCTACAGACCTACAGACCTTTTCTTCTGCATACCATAGTTCTTCTTCTTTTATAGACCCAGCTCCCTCAGAGGTGAATTATTGCAGCAAGAAGTCATCACTGCTGCTTGTGCAACGCAATAAGAAATTGGATTTAGAAGCTAGGTGGGACTATTCAGGCTTTTGATGCGGGTCCTACCCAGCGTCGTTTAGTGCGTTTTACGGGCAACGTGTCGTTTAGTACTCTGCTATTTACATTTCTCCCTAGTCGTCTAGTTGATGCCTCTTTCTCGCCTGAATGCAGAATACCTGCTACAAAAACAAAATCCCACGAATGGTGCTAATATTAGGGCTTCGTTTATCCTGTGATTGATACTCAGATATCTTAAAGGGAAGGGAAAATGAATGAAAGAGGAGGAGATGCGAAGAAAACAAAGTGGCCGGTGATCAAACCCAAGCGGGATCTCCAGATTACGCGCCTCAGAGATACCCATCTCTTCACCGTATGAATCCCTCTTTATTTGTAAACTTTTATTTTATTAATTTTAATCTTTATTTCACATGTAGTCGTCGAGAAATCTATGCAAAGCTTTTGCTTTTTTTTTTTTCTTTTTGGGTAAGAGCAAATAAATTGTTTCAGTAGCAATTACTTGTTATTGAGCTAAGTAATAGTGAATTGTCTGTTCACTATTATGCACGAAAATCAATATTAGGAAATACCCATTTGAATTTTATGAAGATACCATTTGTTCATAAACTAATTCTTGTGATTCTAAATTGGGTTGTCATAGACTTACAGTTACAACTTCGTTCAAGGTTTTCAGGTGCAGAGTTTCCTCACTTCTGCTGAATCTAGGGCGTTCATTAAAGCTGCAGAATCTATTGGTTTCGTCCACCAAGGGAGTCTTGGTCCAACAAAAGGGGAAGCGTATAGAGACAACGATCGCATTTCAGTGAACGACCCTGTTCTTGCTGAAACCATATGGGAATCTGGCCTTAAAAGTTTTTTTACCGATATTAAAATTCGGGGGAAAGTTGCCGTCGGCTTAAACCCAAATATTAGATTCTACAGGTAGATCAATCTTTCCAAAGGGGGTACCGTAACTATAGAAATTTTTTATGCAAATTAAGATAACTTAGTGAAGATCAAAATTAATATGTCGAATCATCTGTTAATCGGGTAACTATGATTCTGCCTGTAAGGAACTCATGTCGATTTGATGAAGTCAGCTGCTCTCAAGTGTAACCCTCCTATTGTTTTCAGTTTGCCTTGCGGTTAACAACATTCCCCTATGATGAAACAGAGAACCTCGTGATGATGTTTCAGCACAAGAACCATTGCGCCACCAGCTTAAGCATCAGAGTCCCCTTTATTTTTTACACCAGATTCCCCTTAGAAATGTTTTCACTCTTGAATGTACTTTGTGGCTGTATTTCAGGTACAAGGTGGGCCAACGCTTTGGGCGACATATTGATGAAAGTGTTGATCTTGGTGATGGCCGCCAGACACATTACACACTGTTAATATATCTAAGTGGTGGGTCAAGACAGAAGGCAAATGGTGATCGAACCAACAACCGTGATTCTTCTGAGGAGCCTCTAGTTGGAGGGGAAACAGTCTTTTATGATTCCAGAAGAGGTGTTGTCGCTGAGGTAATTCGTTTAAATTCTTTTAATTTTTCCTAAAAGGCATTTCTTTTTTCTGTTTTATATTCCTTAGATGAACTGCAGTTATCATGTTCTTTGGAAGGATCTGGCTTTTAACGTGAATGGTTTACATATGAAGGTGGCTCCTATTGAAGGGATGGCACTCTTTCACATTCATGGGAATAAATGTATGCTACATGAAGCCCGCAATGTTACAAAAGGTGTCAAGTATGTATTTCGTTCTGACGTAGCTTTTGCCTGACAAGTACAGAATTTGTCAATCAAACAAGAGAGGTAAGCTACCAGTTTTAAGTTTCTCTTCCAACTTGTATTCTAATGTGAAGTTGTTCCGTCTTCTGGTGAGCTAGCTTCATGATGTTCTTTTGTTTCTCTTTTATATATTTATTTGTCATTTATAACCATCATGGCTGTATTATTGTGATAAATTAAACTGGAATTAGAAGTAACAACATCTACTTATTCATTTGAGATGGGAGAATCAGGTTAGCTTGGAGGTACAAGTAATGAAAACCATAGGTTGTGCAATAGATGTCTTAAATGAGAAATGCTTTGCATTTTTTCATGTACAAGCTATGTTTGTAATCCCATGGAAATCACATAACAAATTTCAGTCCAAAATAAATTGTAGAACTGACACTTTGGTATTCACTATTCGTGTGGGTTTTTGGCAATTTCTTTAATGATCTAAGATCCAAACATGGTGTTAGGAAAATGAAACCATCCAACAAAAAATTCCGACAACAATTATCTATAGCAGGTTGCCATTTGATCTTGGATATCGGCTTGTAAATGGGATAGTCTGGTGAGGCCTAACTCTGGTTCTTGATCACCAATTTATTGGTGCTTGCAGAAGTTTTTTCTTTCCTTGAAGAAGTCCTTTGTTAGAGAAATACAAATTGTATATTTAAGTACAAATAAGTCATGGATCTTTTTGTGATATTTGAGTTCTTATCATGGAAACTGTGATAGAACCACCTTAATGATTGGTGGATGTATGTTTGGTGAAATTATGCATTATAGATAACTATAATGAATGCATAGTCTATTGTATATATGTTTAGTGGCATCAATGCTGTAGAAATGATGGTCTAATCACTAATGGATTCTTTTGTATATGGTAGGTATGTATCTTTAGTGTCATATGTCAGTCACAGTAGCTACTGATAACATTACAAATGCCACATCTTAAGCTTGTACTGTGCTCACATGATCTTGTAATGCTTGTATGTCAATTGTAGGTTTACTTTAGAATCATGTATGCAGTACTGGGGCGATATGTCAATTGTCTCCTAGGTGAATCAATTAGAGGAAAGGGGTAAACAATCCCAAGGGGCATATAAAGTGGGACTACAGCACCTAATAGCCATGACCAAAACGTAGTTTTGTTATAATTTGCTGCATCTACTCCAACTTTTTATTCTTATTAATGTATTTGTTTGTTTGTTTTCATTAAGCAATGCCCATAAAAATAATGTCTGTCATTTCCTTTTTTATGTCCATGTTACTCAGGATCAAGCTAAGCATCTTCACTGACAGAAAAATGCTTTTGATATTCACAAGTGTTCGATCCCAAAACTGAAGCCAGTGCTTTTTTACCTTTGGTCATAGGTGATACTTTTTTTTTTGGAGGGGGGGGGGGGTTCTTATGTTAGAATGGATCTTTAAATATGGTGTACCTACCTATTGTTTTTGTATTCATTCTTTTTTGTCAAAAGTTAAAGCAGAACATGAGAAGATGATGTCGAGTAACGTGAAGGCTTCCTAATTTTTTCCCCCCATGTCCCCGGTGCACCAGCCAGTCACCAACTGCAGAGGTTTTCAAATATTTTGGGGAGGGTGGAGGGCCCTGCCTCAAGTCTTGGTTCCGCCCCTGCCCATGCTCGATTCTATCCTCTGGATGCTCATCCAAGAACTTGGTCTGATATGCACCCAGATCTAGCTGAGAGTTAGCATTAGGACAGGCCTTGGAGTTGGGGCTAGTAGAGTTTCATTTAAAAACTAAATTGTCTTTTTAGCCAAGACTGGGACATACAGTACATGTAGCCAAAAGGTGTATAATAAAGGCTAAATGCTACAACCTGAACTAGTTGGGCAAGGCAAAGCTAAGCAGGCTATAGGGAACTTGTTCAGTTAAATTAGGCGTGCCTGACTCACTATATGAATCTTAGATAGAACTCCCACCTGTTTACGATTTATTTGCGGGTTAGAGGCTGTGAGACTGATATTAGATGATAATGGCGCATGCTGTGGAACCAATCCACGCCAGTAACAATTTCAATGGTCAATGGGCCCGCTGTAAAAGATGCGGGTCCTATGTATTTAAATACTGGCGTGAAACTTTATCATTGGTTCCACAGCCCAGTTAAACCTTGCTGAGATGATACGTCTCAAATTCCTCCAAGCTCCTGCCACAGAATCAATAATCAATTTTTTTCCGAGAATTACGGATGGGCCCAATATAGATTTTTGATTTTTACTGAGGGTTAAAATATTAAAATATCAAAAACCCATATTCTATATACTAGTGTCTGCCTGTGAATTAACATCAATTCTTACTTGGCATCCACCCAACTGTACTTTGGCCTAAAAATTCTAATCCTGGGCTGAATCGTCATTCTTCCAATTTTTTTTGGTAAGAATCACTAATCATCGGGTATTGAAAAAATCTCATGACTAAATATCTCCAACTAAAATAATCAAGTTGTGGGTTACAAGATCGGGCCTGGGTCTAACTGCCACATGGAAGCCCAGTGAAAAGACAAGGCCACTGAGTGCCCAGATCCTCAAATGAGCTCGTGAATGACGATGTGCCATGCCTCCCTATGTCTCGAGGGCGAATTTTGGTGCATGTCACAACCCAGAATGAAGTGGGAACACGTGGCAAACACCGAACGAAACCTGCCACCCCACCAAGGTTGGCAACTTGGCATCAATACCTCAAGTTCCTCGTGCAGAAGCAGAACGTATACTCTTTGACTTCAGAATTTCTTGTGCTCTCTTGCTCACTCGCTCTTTACTTTGCTCAGCTATGACCACTTTGTTTTAATTAGCTTGGCCTAGCCGATCTCTTCACTTTCATTTATTGATTTGAACATTGAAGTGCTCCTCCCCCAAAAATCATTTCAGGGTTCTCTGACCTTTGTGCAGGTCGTCAAGTTTAGTTCAGTTCAGTTGTCAAATTCATGAGGTTATTATGAGGGTGTTTGGTTCCGTTTACTATTCAGTAAACATTTTTACTTGTATGACAGAAAAATCGAGAAACACATTTAATGAGAGTATTTATGATACATAAGCATCGTTAGACACCACATCAGCAAAATGCCAATAAACGTCTATTCATTCCAGGAAGCTTCAAAATGAAGATTCTTGAAACGGGAGAGGCGTACAGAAATTGAAGTTCGCTTTTGCAAATTTCGATACACAAATGCAATTAGTGAGGCATTTTCTGAAGGGACACCTATGTGGCACCGTCAATAAACATAAATGGAACCAAACATAAAGAGTATCCTCATCCATCTCAATTCAAATAGTATGAACAAGGTTCAAAGTATTGATACATTAGATATATAAAAATTGTGTACCAAGAGTTTCTAACAATTGATTTTTGTTTTTTTTTTTCTGAAATCTAACAATCAAAATTTCATTTACTTTTTTTTTTATTTCCAGTTTGATAAAGACACAAATACATATATCAAAGATGGATATTAATATTTAAACCCATTAAACAAATTGGCATTTTGGTGGGTTCATATGATATTTTGAACCTTGCCTACAACAAACCCCTTGTCATATGGTTTTATGAATCCTATATATTCTAACATCCAAAGTTAGTGATAACTAGATCAAATTCAGAATATTTTCAATTATAATATATACACGTGCAATAAAAAAAAACCCTTTTAGAATTTCTATATGATGTTGATGTTGTTTACAAATAAGTGAGATGTAGGGTTTAAATGAACCTAATTTTTGTATTTACAAGATATAGTTCTGTTTTATATTTAATTTTGTAGATGTATGCTAGTTTTACACAGATTTATTGACATTTAAAATGAATTGGATTTGGATATGATATCCTAATGTATAAATCAGTTGAATTCGAATCCATATTTTAAAGATATTGAACCAGATTCAGATTTCTTGGATTCTTATCGATCATGTTCAAAATACACCTCTATCTGAATTCAATCCAATCTATTTGTAGCCGGTAGCTCTAACCCTGATGATAAAACCCCATTCACATGCTAACGACCTCTCTACAGTTTACTAGTATGGTCATTAATAAATGCTGTTTGATTTAATTTTGTTCATTAATTTATTCAAAGTTGTACCCATATTGTTATAAGAATAAGGAAACGATAAAGCACATAGATCTGGCTGTATTGATAATGCTATAATTCAAATATTAAATTGGTCTGTCTATTAGGCTGCATTTGGCAATGATGCAAATGGAGTGTAAATCCCAGTACAGGGTAAATTTGTACTCTGGTTTATTTTGCCTGTATTTGGCAACATTACATTTATGCATTGACAAATGAGTAAAAGTACATTAATAAAAAATAAGTAAATTTGTATTCAAGTGGGCTTTTGATAAAAAAAATGCATATACTTTATTGGAATTCATGTTTGCATCCATTATAGCTAAAAATCTGTTTGGTAAGAAGATAAATTTATTAATGCAAAATTAACCAACTTTACAATTTATATGAACCATTTTACACTCTACAAATTTATATTCACACTTATTTGCATCGTTTCCAAACACAACCTTAGTTGCAAAGATATAAAGGTTTACCAAGACCGTCCGTTAATTCACCAATACCTATTGAACCCTCGTACTCGTACAATTTGTGCTCCTCATGTGTACACCCAATATTTAAGGCCATTTTGGATATATTTTATTTCTCAAGGGTATACTATGTATGCTGGATGGAATAGTGATTTTGCATTCTTTCATTTGCTATTGTTCAGTCTGTGAAGAGTGCAAATATAAATATATTGGGTGCAAATACGAGGTTTAGACTTTAGAAATATAAATATGGACCATGTATAAGGTTTCGCACTCTTCCCAAACAGAACTCAAAGGAAATACCCCTGACAGGTGGTCTTTGGCTAAGAAAGGATTTTGAGATTGTCTTTAAAACAAAGGGAGGTTTTAGATACTGTCTTATAACACATGGTATGTCCACAGGTTATGGTCTTAGTTAGTTAGATATGTAAATTACACATGGAGATTACTGCTCAAAAAGTGGAAAAGTAGAAACCAAGGCGCTGTCCTCAGCTACACAGAACTTCTCAGTCTCTTAGTTGTTTACTTGCTGTCAGAAAAAAAAAAGTGTGTTAACCTTAACACCTTGACAGCATTGCACATTGAGAACATCTCCCGTGTTTTTATTTTGTCATTTAGAAATTAAATTTCATAAAAGCAAAAATCATGTATACACCCTAAGAGCATCGCATCAAGTCGCACATCAGGAATATGTCCCGTACTTTATATGTTAAAATTCATTAGAAGATATTCTCAATGTATAGTTGATGCCATGTTCATAATTTTTGCATTAAAGAGATATCGGCTCTGTCATCAATGAGTCCAGACCTTCTACCAATATAGAGAGCTTGAATATCCTAAAAGTAAAATCTCTATGCATATATATGGATTCTACTGCACTTGGGGAATATATGAAATTCATGGGGAGATATTTCCAATGTATGTCTTAATGCTCATTCTTTCAGGATGTATGCAGAGTTTTTGCTTTCAAGAAATCCCATCATCAATACAATAGCTTGGATTTCACACCCCCTGGGATCAGATCACACTACCAAGATTGAGGGGTTATGTGTTTGACGGATGAATTACCCTTTTCTTTTTGCATCAGATGGTGAGTAGTGACCAACATCATCTCTCTAAGATGTAAGAGGGAGCATCACTTTTTAAGTTTTAAAACATGGGTAAGTTTCAGCTGTCTCAGTTGGTAAGGTCTTGCCTAAGTTGTTGAGACTCTCTGAAAGATGAATTAATGGCTTTTATTCAAGACAAGACATATTTGCAAAAATCCCATCAGCCATAAGAGATTAATGCCACTAATGTTTCTTTAATCCCCAAAAATCTGATGTGGAGGCAGTAGTTGACTTTCAACCGATTGATTTCACCAATGCCATCTACAAAATAACCATTAAGATTATTATTAGAAGATTCATTTGCCTCATTTAATCATTTCACCTCAAGGAGCTTTCAGTCCTCCAAGAAATATTATTTGATAATAGAGTGGTGGCCTCCGAATTAATCCATTATATGATTAGTAAAAATGGTACAATGGGTGAGATTTTAATTAAACTTGATCTATCAATGACATATAACAGAAACTTGATCTATCAATGCTCTCAACATCCTTTTTCTGACTTTATTTATAATTGCATTGCTTGTTCTAACCGTAGAGATCTAAATATGGTCTGTGGGTCATGACAGGCCTGATATGATCGTGTGGGTCATGCTGGGTCTAGGGTTTTAGGTCTGTGGATTGATCCGACATGGTATGATCGAGCAGGTTGTATTGCCTATAGCTCGCATGTTGACATGACTCAGCATGGCCCATATATATTATTTATATATAAATTATAATTATATAATAATATATAATATATTAATAAAATAAGCAAATGTGTACATTAAAATTTATAGTCCGGCTTAGTTCATATACCAGCCCAACCCATGGCACAGCACGGGCCCGCACAGGCTTGGGCCATGAGTCAACCCCCCAAGTTATCCCATAGGAAGACAGCATGGCCTGGGACGGCCCGCACTTTGCATGGACCACCCGCAGGGGGCCGTTTTATGCCTCTAGACTCTAACATGAGAGTGATGTTGAATGAAATGCTTAAGCCTTCAATCCAACCACAATAAGATCTCCGCCAAGAATGCCCACTTTCCCCTTATTTGTTTATTTATGCTATACATGGATGTTTGATGTATTTTTCTTGTAGCTTATGAATGGGCTTGTCTACTACTGATGTTATGGGATGTAGACTTGGTTCCAATAGTTATGTTATTAATCACTTATTTTTTGCTAATGATATTATTAGTGGGTGAGCCATAGTGCAAGAAATGTCCTATATTCATGACTATATGTAGAAAAGTTTCTCTCAGGCTGGCCGAGGTGTGCTGGGTCAAAAGTGAAGTAGAGGTTATTCGGTTCCATCATACACTCTATCCCCATCTCTTATTTCCCTTTAAATGCTGTATGCAAGGACTATTAATGGGGTTGTATTGATCTATTTGAAAAGGTAATTCTTTCGTTAGGTAGATTCGGATTCAAGATTTCAAAGTATTCAATACTACACTTCTAATGCGCAACAACACTATGGAAATCTATTGCGCAACAACACTATGGAATTGATGATCAGCATGGGAAAAAAAACTATAAACGCATTAGACAAATAACATATATGTTTGGTTCTGTTTACGTTTATTGACGGTACTACATAAGCGCCCTGTCAGCAAATGCCTCTTTAATTGCATTTGTGCGTATCTTAGTTTGTAAAAGCAAACTTCGGTTTCTATGCACCTCTCACGTTTTAGGAAGCTTTATTTTAGAGCTTCCTGAAATAAGTAGGTATTTATTGGCATTTTGCTGACGTGGTGCCTAATGGCACATATGTGTCATAAACACCCTTAGTGAATGTGTTTCTCGATTTTGCAGTCACACGAGATCACATCTCCACCCCACAAGGGCCCGCAAGACCATGGAATTGATGATCAGGATCAAGAAAAAAAAACTATAACTGCATTAGACAAATAGCATATATGTTTGGTTCCTTTTACACAAGGTTCAAAGTATCAGCACGTATTGGCCTGTATTGGCCAATACGCATCGTTCCAGGACCCTCCGATACGTGCCTATAGTGGGTGTATTGGGGGTCTAACCGATTCAGGGAGTGGAGGAGCCCTAAACCGCCCCTTTGAAGTGGTTTCAAAAAAAAAAAGGGATCGATTCGCTCGATATGCCCCTACCGGCGTATCAAGCATATTGATATTTTGAACCTTGCATTTACGTTTATTAACAGTGCCACATGGGCACCCAGTCAACAAATGCCTCATTAATTGCATTTGTGTGTATCGAAGTTTGCAAAAGCAAACTTCGGTTTCTGTGTGCCTCTCCCGTTATAGGAAGCTTCATTTTGGAGCTTCCTGAAACAGGTAGGCGTTTATTGACATTTTGCTGATGTGGTGCCTAATGGCACCTATGTGTCATAAACGCCCTCATTAAATGTGTTTCTCAGCTTTGTAGTCACACGAGATCACATCTCTGCCCAACATCACATCCCTATTGTGTATTGGGAACATCTCCCGATGATAGTACCAATCTCAATGATGTCATTATCAGGAGATGTTCCCAATACACGACGGGGATGTGTTGTGGGGCAGCCCCTTGTGGGGTCGAGATGTGAACTACAATCACACAAGTACAAAACGTTTATTGAATAAATGGAGATCACATCTCCACCCCACAACACATCCCCACCATGTATTGGAAAGTGGAAATGTGAACTCGAATAAACATAAATGGAACCAAACACCCACAACGTGAATGGTGTGGTAAAGGGGAAGGTGGAATTGGAATCATTTGCCAACAAAATGAGACCGGATCTGCTCCTCATACCTAGCACCTCACAGGCGCCTCATACACACACATCCTATCATGCATTGGGAACATCTCCCGTACTTATTGGTTATTATTCATGGAAGATATTCCCAATGCATGGTGGATGTGCCTGTGAAGCGCCCATTTGTGAGGAACAGATCCCGTCACCAACAAAATAAGTTCCAACACCTAAAAACTTGATCTGGCACCCTACATCTTACTATAAAAAAGGAGGCCATTATATAAGATTAGGTCTGCTCTTCACACATAGCGCCTCACACCGACCTCACAAGAACATCCTACAGAACATCTCCCATACTCTATGTATTATTATTTACGAGAGATGTTCCCAATGCACGGTAGGATGTGCATCGTTGTAAAGCGTCCTATGTGAAGCAGATCCCAATTCCCATCAAATAAGTGGGATTCGGCGATGTTCGCATGTATGAGATGTGCGGTGTCAGATGTTTTTGTTAGGATGTTAGAACGCGGCGATCAGGATTAGGAAGGGCGTAGGGTAGGGACTAGGGAGCATCCGCCTTGATACACCCTCGCAACGTCATGGCTCACGGACACGGGTTTCCATAAAATGAGGAAAAAGGGAAAAGAAATGGGGTTCTTTCAGTTCCTGTGTCCCATAAGCGCTAAAACTAGCCTCGACACCACAGAGCTCTCCATACTCATTCCACATTTCCCTTCCAGTGATTCTACTTCTCTCTCTCTCTCTCTCTCTCTCTCTCTCTCTCTCTCTCTCTCTCTCCATCCACCTCTATGGGTTTTCCATCAAACGGCACCTCTGCATCTGATAAGCCATTGAAATTCCTCATCTACGGTCGGACTGGGTGGATTGGAGGACTGCTCGGTAAGCTCTGCGAAGCTCAGGGCATCGACTTCGCCTACGGATCGGGCCGACTCGAGAACCGAGCCTCCCTAGAGTCCGACCTCGCTACCGTACGCCCCACTCACGTCTTCAATGCCGCCGGTGTCACTGGTCGCCCCAACGTCGACTGGTGCGAGTCCCACAAGGTCGAGACCATCCGCACCAATGTCGTCGGGACCCTGACCCTTGCCGATGTTTGCAGAGAGAAAAGCTTGATCTTGATCAATTATGCCACTGGTTGCATCTTCGAGTATGATCAGGACCATCAGCTCGGTTCAGGTATCGGATTCAAGGAGGAAGATGTCCCCAATTTTATTGGATCCTTTTATTCCAAGACCAAGGCCATGGTGAGTCATTCTTTCTCTCTCTGACTCTAACTGAGCTGTATGCCAGTACTTGCTGGTCCTGACTTTGTAATTTTTGGGAAAATTGGAGATGTACAGATCTCTTATGACTGTAGCAATTCCTGCTTACTTGACATCTCTTATGTCTAGAGTTCGTGTTTACTTACTGTAATTAGATATGCAGATTGTGATATGTAGAAGACTTTGAATTACATTGGTTGTTTCTGTGTTTTCTTAATTGGAATGCTATGATCTTGTAGATCTATGGTTTGTACTCGGGTCGTCAATATATGTAGAGATTTACATCTACAACTTTGTAGGCATTTACTTTGGTTCGAATGAATAATGTTTTGTAGAGATTCAATCTTGCATGTACGTTCAAGTTGATGGTACCAAGCTGCTCAATAGATCGGATCTTGGAATGTTAAGGAAGGAAGATATCTGTTATTTTATTTCTTATGTATCGTATGATGTAATGTGAGTGTGGGGAGGTTTAGAAATTCTTTTTGTTATGAATGATCCAGGGTCAATGTGCGCATTAAATTATAAGATATTGAGATAGTATTATGCCTGGCTCAATTAATGTGGTGGAATCAACTATGCACAGCTAAACAGCTGACCAGACCTTAAAACTTGTATGTACCAAACAAAGAGAAAAAAAACTTAAAACTTGTGAAGCTTTTAGGCATTATCAGTAACCATATGTTTTGTTTCAATTTGCCACCTTCTGATCTACTAAAAAAAAAAAGAACTTCTTAGTGTACGTCTGAACTTCTTTTTCTCTTTTCCTTTGGGGGAAAGCAGGAGGGGTTCTAGAAGTTGGATCCATAACTGATAATCTACCAATTAGATACCAGTTGGGTCACTAATACTAAATTTCAACTTTTGCATGATTAGGGACTCTGGGCTTCAATGGGTAACCTGAATTATTTTACAAAACTGTAGTATGTTCTTGCAGTAAGACATGCATACATGCTTTGTGTTTGAATAAATTACTATTTCAAAAACTGCAGGATAATGATAGTATTGTATCCGTTCCTGTCTTTATCAGCACTAGTTTCTCATTAAGTGATTATTGAAAGAATCTAATAATCTCATGTCCCAAAATTTTATAGGTGGAAGATCTGCTCAAGAACTATGAGAATGTATGCACCTTGCGAGTCAGGATGCCCATTTCATCTGATCTGTCTAACCCTCGCAACTTTATCACGAAGATCACTCGATATGAAAAGGTGGTCAACATCCCCAATTCAATGACAATCTTGGATGAACTCCTCCCCATATCCATTGAGATGGCTAAGAGGAACCTCATTGGAATCTGGAATTTCACCAACCCTGGAGTGGTTAGCCATAATGAGATCCTGGAGATGTATCGAGACTACATTGACCCCAACTTTGTGTGGAAAAACTTTACCCTGGAGGAACAGGCAAAGGTGATTGTTGCCCCAAGGAGCAATAATGAGTTGGATGCCACCAAATTGAAGAAGGAATTCCCTGAACTTTTACCTATCAAAGAGTCTCTCATAAGGTATGTGTTCAAGCCAAATCAGAAGATCTCTGCAGCTTGAAAAGTTTTAGATTATGTTCATTGGAGCTTTGGGTATTACTGTAAGTGGGTAAGAAGTGTTGGACTTTGGTTCTCTCTGTGTAGTGGTCCATCTTCTGCACCCCATTGTATGTCTGATAACTCCTAGTTCATATTTGAATGGTGTATTCTTATCAACACATGAATAAATTAGTTTGTAAGAGGTTGTTAAGTTGCTTATTTTATTAGTTTGTTATCTGCCTTCTTTCATTGGTGAAGTATATTAGTATTGTTTTCACTTGTAAAATATACAAGTTACTTGATGCATTCACATATGGATCATGTCTGGATCTCAGCATTTACAAGATGGTATGGTCCAATTAATTGTCATATGCCAATAGAGTGGTTGAGAGTCTTGAGATCATCCAATTAATTCTATTCTTCATTTTATTTTGGTTTTTTCCCCTTTTTACAATGAACCTTTGCACCCCCAATGTAACCCCCTGCAATAGAGTGGTAAGTAGGATGGTTGGATAACCAATTACAGTTTGTAATGAATCTGGAAGTGTAGTCTATTAAAAAAAGTTCTCTGGATGTATGAGGTTGGATAACCAATAACAGATGATATGTACCAAATGGTATATGTTTAAGACCTCCCAATTGGTTGATTCCAGTTCACTGCCGTCTTTTGGCAGGTGATTTACCTCTTAATTAACCTTTTCAGTTTTCATGTTAGAAGTTCTGACAATGGATTTCAAGTAATCACTGTATAAACAGCTGGCCCATAAGCACTGTAGAGCTGGGATGAAAACCGTTCAGCCTCTGCTCCCCCGGGTTCCAGTACAAAATCAGAAAATCTGAAGGCTTTTTTAGTATTGTAGTACGAAAGCGTGGGGCTTGAAGATTGGTGGTGAAACCTGAAACTTGTGAGGGACCGCTTATGTAATTAAATGGTTAGATTGTCAGATCGATGATTTGGGTTACGTTGTCCGCGCACATTAGACTTGCAGTGGAGTGCTTCATCTTGATTCTTGAGTACCACGTCTTCAGTCTTCCATGTGTATCGCTATAGCAAATTAGGGACCCCAAAGATGTATGGAGACCTGCAGTGAATACTGGGTTTTCCTCATCGACGGCAGATGTTCCTGAAGACAGGTATCAAGAGTCAAATGAGAAAATTCATCTATATTAATTAAGTTGCAAGAGACACGTATATATAGATAAGACTGAGTCAGTTGTAAAAGAAAGTTCAAGTGGCAAGATACAACTGTACATGTAACCGACTCTGGACGAGGTCATGCACAAAGTCACAATCGATCTCATTGTATTTGCATTCATAGAATACTAAATTGGCGGCAATGTGAATGACAACTTTGCTATCACATTAAAGAGTTAGAGGTCCATTCAAGGTAACAGTGAGTTCGAACTTGTATCCAGATAAGTTCAAAAGATGCAGCAGTCATGGGCCAATATTCAGCTTCTGCAGAGGATCATGAAATTGTGTGTTGTTTCTTAGTCTTTTATGAGAGAGGGGAATCCCCAAGCAAAGTAGGATTAGGGGTGGCCACAAGCTAAACTGTTCACGAGCTGTTTGAACCCGGCTTAAATCGATTTGGTCTAAACCGAGCTTGATCCTAATATATAGGCTTGTGAGGCTCGCGAGCCTAATTAAGTATATATGTATATAGGGTGTCACCTCGGCTTAGCACATCGACTATTGAGGGAGGCCTCGGCTCGGTGCCTCGACAACTGAGGGAGACTTTGACTTGGTACCTCGACAACTGAGGGAGACCTTGGCTTGGCACCTCAGTTGCTAGGGAGACCTCAACTCGACACTTTAGTAGTTGAGGGAGATCTCAGCTCGACACCTCGATTGCTAGGGAGACCTTGGCTCGGCATTTTAACAGTTGAGGGAGACATACAATCAGAGGTATTTGAGCTCAAGTTTCTAGTTCGAATCGAGCTTGAGCTTGAGCCTGATAGTGTATGAGCGAGCCAAGCCCGAATAGTTAGATATTCGGCTCAGCTCGACTCGAATTTACCCCTAAGTAAGATAGCCAATGGTGGGTCGACGAGTAAGGGGGCAACTCGCCCAATCAAAATCACAAAAAACTTGGAGTTAAGGCTTGCTTGAGGCTAAGAAAAATAATCTAGCAGATAGAGTGACTTTAATGTAACGAACAGCTCTAAGTGCAACATCAAAATGTTCTTAACGAGGTTCATGCATGAATTGGCTCAGGCGATTAATAACAAAACTTAGTCCTAGGTGAGTGGCAGTGAGGTAGACAAGTTGGCCCACTAGTTTGTGATACTGGGCTGGAACTATCAACAAGGTGATTTTGTTGTTCCATTGGAGTGGTACTGGGCTTGCAATCCTGAAGTCTTATATCTTGGACAATATCAAGTGCATATTTGTGTTGACTAAGAAAAATCCCATGTGTCAAACGTGTGACAAGGCCCAAGAAGAATTGTAAGGGGCCAAGGTTCTTGATACCAAACTTGTCATTTATTTGTTTCTTGATGAATTGAATGTGTTTGTGACCATTCCTAGTAATGATGACATCATCTACATAAACAATGATGGCAACAAATGAAGTCTTGAAAGAAGCAATGAAGAGGGAATAGTCAACAATGGAATGTGTGAATCTAAGAGATGTTAGGGTATGTGTAAATTTTGCAAGCCACATTTTGGAGGTTTTCTTAAGGCCACATAGAGATTTTTTATTTTACAAACTTGAGTAGCATCAATAGTTGTAAATCCTGAGCCACGGTCATATAGACTTCTTCATCGAGATCTCCATGAAGAAAAACATTATTAACATCTACTTGGTGGAGATCCCAATTTTTGATTGCTACTACAGCAAGAAGACAACGAGGGGTGTCTAATTTTGCCACAGGAGTTGTCATGATAATCAAGACCTTCAACCTAAGTGTAACCCTTTTGTTACAAAACATGCCTTGATAGTACCATTAGCTTCGTATTTAATTTTGTACATCCATTTTGAACCGATAGGATGTTTTCCTAGAGGAAGATGGACAATTTTCCATGTGTTATTTTGCTCTAATTCTACTATTTCATTGGCAATGGTTTGGTGCATAGGATTTTGGTTTAACTTCCAAGGCAACATGGTTCAGCCTAGAGATGGAAGGTGGAAGCTTACAAATGTAGTCATTGAACCTAATTGGAACTGTAGTCAATCATTAGGGTCGAGATGGTCGGCTCGAGTCCGAAGGGGTGAGTGGAATGATAATATAATTGACCATGAGGTTTGTTGTCATGGGCAAAGTTTAAAATTTCGATATGATACGCCCGATACGAGGCATATCGTATCGTATCTTTAAAAACAAATACAGGATACACATGAAAATTGGGCGTCTCGACTTTTTATATGTGTATCGAATCGTATCAGGGGTGTATTGGGGTGTATCAGGGGCGCTTCGATGAAAAAGATACAACCAAAAATTGGAAAAAAAATAAAGGGGGAAGGCAAACTTCTTTTTCTTAAAATAAGCCTTCTTTCACTCCTAAAGGGGTATGAATAGATTTAGAAGAATGAAAGTAAGATTTGGAAGAGATCATATAATCGGATGCACCACTATACATGTACATGATCCATTCAATAAATGTTGGAATAAGCTTACCGGTAGTGGTAGTGGCAACAAAATCAAGAGATTCACAGTTTGAGAGAGAGATCAATTAAATGTATTGGTGCATGGTGAGTCCAACTATAGGAGATGACTGATCTGGTGAGACAATAGAATGGTTACCAACAATTGTCACAAGATGCTAATTTATTAGCCTTTGAGGTATTGGCTTGTGTAGTAAATTTTTCATTCTTGTGGCAATTCTAGTGAGGAGGATACCTAATGAGTGCATAACACCAATCTTTGGTGTATCCTATGCGCTTGCAATGTTCACAAAAGAATTTGGACAAAGAAGTTCCATTCTTGGATGAATTAGCAACTAAGGTTGTCGCCTCTGGTTGCAGTGTCCAAGGGGAGACAACAAGTTGATGACAATGGCATTCTTCCTGGGGAACAAGGGAGTAAGCTTTACTTAGTGACGATAGAGAGCCCGATCCAAAAATACTTGATTGGATTGTATTGGAACACTCATTTAGTCTCATAAGAAGCTGATGTAACTTCTCTTTTTCACATTCAGCTGCATAGACCTTTGCAGCTCAAAATGAACAAACTGGATGGGTTGTAAGAGTGTTGAGTTCATCCCACAATGTTTTCAGCTTTGTGAAATAGCTGGTTACATATTATAGATGTGGTGGTGAGGCTACGTATGAGGGTCTCCTTGAAGGACAAAGGAAGACCGAATGCAAGAGATAGGCTAAAGGCTAGGGCAAATGTGAGTGATAAGATGGTGATTGCATTATGAAATGGACCCCTATTTATAGGGAGGGATCTCGAGGTCCTAAAAGGAATGAGCCAAAAGCGTTAAATTCTTACTAGGAAAGAGAATTTTGGATTCGCTGTCAGTCATCAGGGAACTCTGCTAGGGTTTCGCCATGTGTCTTACGAGATATCTTTAGGGTGAACTTTCCTTTCGTCCAAAGATTTTCATAATCTGCATGTACTACTTCCTTTTGTGATCCTTTTAACCAATGTGGCGTGAGTGACATCATCATTTAGTAGGTGCATCTTTACCAAGCCCATGGGGCGCTTTGTCACATGTCTAATTTAAAAACGCACGTGTAACTAATATTTATTCCCAGTCTACAGTGATTCTCGGTTCTACAATAGTTTTGAACTTATCGCAACCCTACATATGTCTAAAGCTCATCGCAAATTTGTGTGTGTATAAGGTTCATTGCAGATTTGTGTCTCTAAAATTCATCGCAGATTTGTGCATATCTAAAGTTCATCACGACTCATTTCGGGTATGAGTTCATTGCAAGCGTCCGATGAGTTATGGGTTCATCACAAGCGTCCGTGTAATATAAATTCAGTATTCTCTGTACTTTGATGGTCTGAACGATCACTATGTACCTATACAGATAATTCACCCTACTGAGGAAGAGCAATATCATGCTTCAGTTGATGAATTCAGGGAATGTTCGCTTGAGAGAATCTTTCTCATAATTCTTTCCATATAACGACAATTGATTCGGTGAAAGCAATGCTATCGTAAACTTCTCTTGTTAATGAACTACTGATCCATGCAACCACCATGGTGTTGCATTTGATCCAAGCACCAAAGTCGAGCACAGTTGATGTTGGACGTGGTAGGGATCTATCAACAAAACCAAACATGCTTTTGGCTCTGAGTGCATTGGTCATCCTACGCTGCCACATTGGAAAATTATCTCTAGTGAGTAGGCATGAATCAACACTGCTCCTAAACTGTCTGAAGGATGCAAAAAGTATGGACAATCAGTTCCGATCTCCATTCCAAAAAGTATGGAGAACCAGTTTGGTGAAAAAGAACAGAAGAGAAGAAATTCTCGGACAAGAGTTGGATATCTTCCTACAAGGGCAAAAACAGAGGAACCAACGAAACGGAAGAAAATCAGAGTAGCAAAAATGGTGGATCACCACTATGATACCATGAAGGCAGGTATCAAGAGTCGAATGAGAAAGTCCATCTATATTAATTAAGTTACAAGAGAGACATGTATATATAGACAAGACTGAGTCAACTGTAACAGAGAGTACATGTGGCAAGATACAGCTGTACATGTAACCGACTCTGATTTAATCTACTCTTCTAACAGTTCCTAACTCTAAACCTAACTGCATTGACAAAAACTCACACTCACATAGAGGAATAAATGGTGTACTTTTGAGCAGATTCACATGTTTAGTAGAGTTGCACCAGTCACCCAATGATCCTAGCTGAAAGGTTCATGTCATATATACAGGGAGCGTAGGTTGTCTGCTTAAGCTAAACTTACAACCTATGACTAGAGCTTCTTCGACGTGTCTTATATTGATTTTATAAAGGGAACTTGTCTAAAACTCACCATGAGTTTTCAACATTTCCCTTAAACTCACCACAACTTTTCAAAATGTCTAAAACTCACCATGTCAGTAAGTTTTTATTTTCCAAAACTCATCTTCTGTTAGTGCACCATTAATGCTTCTTAACAGATGTGTCCATGTCAGCATAAATAACAATTTTCATGACCAAATTACCCTTGAGTGGCGAGTTAGAGGAAAAGTGGTCTTTTTCAGTTTTCAATTTTCTTGTTCTTTTGCATTTTTAGTGTTTTGTTATAATTTCCAATGTTTTTTATAATTTCTGTTTTTTTTTACATTTTCTTTTTTCTACAATCTATAAATGTTCCAGTATTTTTTGCTATTTATTTGTAATTTATGTGTTTTTCTATAATTTTTTATGTTTTTCTACAATTTTTATTTTCTGATTTTGTTTTTCAATTTCTATAGTTTCTATAATTTGAAAATAATTTTTTATTTTGTTTTCATTTTCTATTATTTTTTATAATTTCTATGTTTTTATGTATTTTATATTTGAAAATATTTTTTGAATGTTTTCCTTTTTTTCATGTCTAAATATTAAAATAGTAATATATTAACACCAGTTAATTTATTTTGTATATATTTTATAAGTTTCTATGAAGGTTAAAATAGTAATATATTAACACCGTTAGTCTGTTAAACGCCAAGTTAATGACACGGTGAATTTTACACATTTTAAAAAATTGTAATGAGTTTAAGAGAAATGCTGAAAACTTATGGTGAGTTTTAAACAATTTCCCTTTTACAAATAGGTTGGCGGGCCGGGTCATTTTGTTGGGCTTTGGACATAAGTGTCAATTCCAGCCCACTATGTTGACGGAGATAAAAATGTTTGCTTTGAAGTTTGAAATTTGAATGAGGCAAGTGAGTTGGGCAGAAGTAAAGATGGATAAGCTCCGATTCCAATTCACATAGTAACGAATCAAATTTGGATGTGGGTTTTCTCATCCAATCCGTTTGCAGCCCTACATTGAACTTATGAAAGATATTGATGGAAGTTCCCTTCATTTCTTTTCTTTTTTTTTTTTTTAAGTGGACAAAGGAAATAAAAGAAAATCATCAGAGTGTGGACCGAGCAAAAATGTAACCACACATCAGATAGAGTATCTACAAGAGGGACCTACTGTGATTACTACTTGTCCATACCCCATTGCCAAGCTCAATCTTGGGCTACAAATTTCCCGTCAGTGATGCTGGCAGCCACTGTGAGTGGCCAAAGCAACTACTTGAAAACTAAGAAAAAAATATGGCCCAGAATTTCATTTGGGTCCTCAATGTACTGGAGTGGCCACTGGCCAACTAAATCCAAGAGACACTGATAATGATATCGACCCCCATCAGCTGTGTGCCCACAATCATCTCTCATCCCTCTAGGCTCTAGAACAGAAGGTTGTTTTGGAAACTCCTCTGTCCTCCAGTTCCGTTAATATCTTCTTCAGCAGTTCAGCTCGCCCATATAGAAGTTGCTTACTCCTGACAGCTTTTCTTCTTTATGGGCTTCATGGGGTGTACCCGTGTATCTATCCGCTTCGCTTCTTCTTTTTAATCTTTCTGGGCTTTATGGGGTGTATCCGCTTCTTGATATATTTGTATTTGTCCAGACGGGCCTCCAATTTGGAACTTCAATTGAATCGGCCCACCCTCGTAGAAAAAATTCTGTAACCCCGTCGATCACAATTCACAAACTGTCCAGTTGAGCCCAGTCTAGTGCCTGCCTGCCTGGACCATCTTAGCGGTATAGCCACACCGAAGACCTTAGTCCCCTGCAAAGGTCTCAAGATGAATTGTGGTTTGTAATTTGGTTGGATTTTGATAAATCAGAGGCTGTTGGACTTTGGGCTCGGGCAAAAAACATCCAACAAAAGTCAAAGTCCTGAGTGGAACAATATGTAACAAGAAGGAAAGTTGTGGAACGGAATCTGCTCCTCACACATGAGCGCCTCGCAATACATTGGCGTCTCACAGATACATCCACCGTGCATTAAAAACATCTCCTGTGAAAAATATCTTATAAGTATGAGAGATATTTTCAATGAGAATATGCGTATAAAATCGGTATGAGGCGTCCTGTGTGAGGAGCAGATCCGATCTCAAGCTCAAAGTCTTTTTTTTTCTGGGTTTCTCTTTCTTTCTTTCTTTTCTTTGCGTTTCTTTTTAAGCGGAATGATTTGAACAAGTTATCTGATAAAAAAGTTCACTTAATCACATATTTTTTATAAATATAATCAATATTTAATACATTTTTATATCCAAGCTACCTCTGAGGTTTGAGCACAGATATTATGTGAATTTACGATGGAAAACATCAAGCATGTATTAAGTTTGCTTTGAAGGAACGATTATGGTCTATGGCAAACATAATTAATTAATTAATTATTTGCTTATAATAATCTAAAGTGTACTAAAGTGTATTAGACCCTACGAACTCATCAATTTACAAGTGGCAGTCTGCCACATCAATTGATGGCATATCAATTGATGGCATATCAAAGGTTGGAGTGCAATAGCAGGTTCATTGTCCTCAAAGCCTACTATTGAAGAAAGTGGGACTCCTTCTCTACGACAAAGGGTCAAACTAATGTAGGTAGCCTAGATTCATCCAGTGTTGGAGGTGTGTTAAGAGAATGAGAAGGTATAAGTTCCATGGATATGGCAATGGTGGTTGACTCCAAAAGTCTAAGGAGAAATCGGCTAGAGAAGACAAGAAATGACCAAACCCCCAAAGGAGCTACACTATGTACCCTCTGGTGAGGGATTAGACCATCGTAGCTCTTTTACAAGCTAGTTATCTGAGAGCTGGAAGAGGAGGAAGGTCTGAGAAAGAGCCTCCAAAAGAGAGAGAGAGAGAGACAAAGAGAGAAAAAGGAGGTCTGACAGATGTTGGTCATAGGGCCCCCTAGATCTAAGAATAAGCTATTTATATTTTCTTTAATAAAATGTTTCTGGAATCTTGTAATACATGCTTTCCTGGGTTAATTTTTAGACCAGACAAGACCAGATGCACTTTGCTGGGTCTATGGCAGTTTGCAAATCTGCTTTTACAGAAGGAAGAATATAGGTTTTATATTTAGGACCAATTGGGGTGGGTGATTCACTAAAAGATGAAGTGATAGCCCTACTCCAATATTTGAGATTGGCTAAACAGATGGGTCTCCAACAAATTGAGGTGGAGGGGGATTCCAAGTTGGTAATAGGGTGGGTGCAAACAAATAGCTTGGGAATCTCAACCCATAGATAGACTGTAAGGGAAATCAAGTGCCTAACAAGGGAGATTGAGGTATGCTAACAATTTGGCAAATAGTTCAGCTAAGCAAGGGGTTCAGAGACAATAGATGTGTTGGGCACATTTGTAATTTCTTGGGGGATTAACTCCTTAATGGGGTTGCTCTTTTCTCACAACTCCTAGTTGTACTCTGTTTCTTTTCATTTTAATCAAATTCTATTTTTGTGTTGCTGATAAAAAAAATGAAGGTTGGGTATACTATAGGTGGACTAGAAGATCAGAAAATGGACTGGCCAACACTCTAGCAAAGCAAGGGATTACTAAGGAGGAACTATTTTGGCTAATGTTGTAATACCAAGATACTTTGAGGCTCAACACCCTTTCCTTGGGTGGGTGGCAGTTGTACTTTATATATATATACATACATGGTGGGCTGTGTAAGATTGGAAGCTAGAAATTGAAATGTTTTATACTATTATAAGGGCTTATCTATGCATATACATGTGTTTCTAGCTTCAACTAAATAACATAAACTAATTAATAGTTTCCATGTTTATAATTTACCAATAAACTTCATACAAATACCAAAAAAATAGTGTTTTAGCTCTTACCTTGTGTTTCGTTAATACATAATGAGCATCCACATGACACCACAATCTGCTGCGATTCCCAGGCTCCTCTGGAGATTCTTCTCGAACAATTTCCCTCCCCATGTCTCGTATTAGATCATGCATCCTCAACTCATTTCTCAGATTGATTTTTAGAAGAGACTTACTAACAAGATCACTTATTCCAATTTCTGGAAAGAAACCACAACCATCCAGTATTCTAGTTACACTATCGTTGTTCTTTCCAACAAAGAAGCATGCAATATCAAGGAATATATCCCTGTTTTTATCATCTAGCAAATCAAAACTTATTCTAAGTTTTTTCTAAACTTGATCAGGTGGAATATTTTCAAGTTTCTCTAATATGGTTTCCCATTCAGATATTCTGTCAAGAAGAGAATAACCCAAAATCTCAAGAGCTAAAAGAAGTCCTCTAATGTAATGCAGCACACGGTTTGAGAGATTTACATAACCTTCTATAGGATGATTTGATTTAAAGGCATGCCAACTAAAGAGCTCAAGAGATTCATTATGATTTAACTGTTTAACCTTATATTTCTTATCCACTTGAAACACATCCAATAAATGATCATCTCTGGTTGTTATGATGATTCTACTTCCAGGACCAAACCAATTGTGTTCTCTAGCTAATGCTTTTAATTGGTCCATTTCATCCACATCATCTAGAATCAAAAGAACCCTTCTATAACAAAGTCTTTCTCTAGTCAAATTTATTCCACGAGCAATATTACTAATCTTAAAGCCACTTCTCATTAGGATATCTAAAAGAAGTCGGCCTTGTAACTGAACTAGACCATTACGTTGTTGTGAAACTTCACTGACATTTTCAAGAAAGCTACTACCTTCAATATTGTGAAAGATCAAGTTATACACAGCTTTGGCAATGGTTGTCTTGCCTATTCTACCCATGCCCCAGATCTCTATAATGCGGACATCATCAGATCCAACACTTAACAATGAATATATGTGATCTACACGTAAATCTATTCCAACTGGGTAGATAGCAACATCCAGCATCGTTTTATTCAATTTAGTAGATACTTTGTCAACAATTCTTTGAATGAACTTTGCCTCATGCCTGCCAAATGTGATGGAAAAGACACAAGCAGGATAAAAATATATGGAATTGAATGAAGCCTAAGACCCAAGAAACAAAATCTATTGAGGCATTTATTTTGGTTATTTGTAGCCAAATGTCAATGTCCATATCAATGCTTAATAATGGATTGAAAGCAAAATAGAAAAGAAAAGAATATGATTTGGATATTAGATCTTATTTCAATATAGAATGTTCTACCACTTCAATTGTTTTATTCATCAAAAAACTGGTATCAATTTTCATTTTCTTTTGGATATCTAACAGATAATAGAAAACTTCAACCATGTTTGCTTGCAGAGCGAATCCAAATCAAATATCAACGGTTCGATTTGCATGTAATTGGTTATAACTATGATTTGCTTGGATTATTGCCTTATTTGCAATCATTGGAAGATGCAAAATTTGATCCACCTTCTTCTACCTTCGTTATCTCTCATATAAAGTGCATACCACATCATTTTGCTTCCCAACTTCTCCAAAAAACAAAAGAAGAAAGAAAAAGAACAAGCATTATTCTTGATTTTTTTTCTCACTTAAATGTTTTATTTCCAATTTTATTCCACTCAATTTGTACTCAGCCCATTTGCAGTTTTATACAATGCAAATGAACTGCAAGCAAACGAAATTCTAATAACATTTTTTTCTTTCTTTATTCATTATGATGAGATGAGAACATGCACTACTCAATTCTCAAAAATCGATGATATCGTATTGATATTAAGTAGCAAATAAACAGGTTTTAGAAAGATTTCCCGTTAGCAACATCTCGCAGATCCCATCCTGACAAATTGGCAGCGTCTGTAAGAGCTTGCCTCCACCTCTGTAGTTTTCCCATCAGCTCTGCGTTGAAACGTTGTTCGCGTTCGTATTCAACAAATGCTTCTGCAAAAATCCCACTTTGTTTTCGAACATCCGATGGATCTACATCATAAAAAACAGGCAGAACCGTCTGGTCCATCGAACATCCGATGGACGAGGGTTTACCTCGTACAGAGAGAGAGATGGACGAGGGTGCACCTCGTACAAAGAGAGAGGGACGAGGGTGCACCTCGTACAGAGAGAGATGGACGAGGGTGTACCTCGTACAAAGAGAGAGGGACGAGGGTTTACCTTCTACAGAGAGAGAGGAGCGAGCGATTACCTTGTACACAGAGCGGGGGTTCACTGAAAGTCGAGAGGGTTCAGTCGAAGTCGAGAGACTCGAGCTCGAACGCAAAAAAATAAAAAAAAAATGGTAGGGCACGAAAATCTTTCGTGCCACAAATTTTTGCTAAAGCTCAAATTTCGTTACGGGAAGAATGAATTCTGTGGCAAGAAAATATCTAAACATCTATATCTCATTCATTCTTGCTAATGAGGTTACAGGCAATGAACCAAATATGGCCTTAGATGGGCTATGAATCAATAACGAAGTTCCATGCCAATAATAAATTTATAAACCCAGCTATAAAGAACACGGGCCCATGTATTTAAATACTAACATAGAGTTATCTCGGCAAAAATAGGTCAGTATTGCTTTTGTGGATCAACCTATTGAAAAAAATTGCTTGGCCCAGCTCCAGATGGGCCCAACAGGATTGTGGCCGAGCAACAGCAACCCCATGGCCTTATATGAACCAGAAAAAAACAAAATTGTATTCTTTTTCTGATTTACTTTTGATTTTTTTTCAAGTTTCAATGCATTTTTTTCTCATTTTTTTTATTTCTATTATATTTATGAATTACCGTTAATCCCATTCTCCCGTCTGTTCAAACTCCAATGTCCAATTTTGATTCCAAAATGGACGTAACAGAGAAGATAGATGGAATATCCTGTACAATAAAAAAAAAGATTCGGTAAAGTCATCTGTGTAGTAGACCGGAGCCTGGTCTGGTTTTACGTAAAAGAAAACTCCATGATGGAAAGTCAGATCAAATTCGGTGGGACCTCTTCTCAAGGATGGAATGGTATTGTACACGTCAGATTTTGTCATCCACTCTTTTTCCGAGAAACCCATATGACACCGCATAGGGATCCGTCTTGAACAGGTCAGATATAGGTAGTGTACGTATAATCCACCTGGATTCTAACTGAATCCAGATCTGGGTTCGGCTCCAACTTATTTGTCACGCCAGGAACCAACAAAGACTCTATATAGTCTTATACCCATTGCATTTGGCTGGAGTTGGAATACATCGAACGGCTAATAACAGTCTGGTGCTTTCATAACTTACCATGTGGCATATAAACAGAAGATCAGGATCCATCAGTGGACAGATCCGGAAAGGCCAGTATCAAATATCAGCGCTCGGAAGTGGGAACCCATCTGAAATTATTGCAATTTATTTTTGGCCCAATTGAATTGATCTTCAATCTTGAGGCCCATTGAAGAGTGGGTCGCGATCATCTTGATCTAGGATACATTTTTATAGGGCCCAGATCGATTGTTTTATGGTTCGTCGTGTTTCGTTTGTTAAGATGCGGATTTCGGATAAACTGCATAGATCCGGTGAATCCAAGTAATGCAGACTCCTCTGTCCTCTCCTCGCAAAGGCACAGTTGCATGAACCTCAAGATTTATGTATGAATTGAATGGTGGATGAGGCCGCCCATTTTTCTGATTAATCGTTTGCCTGTCCCAGACAGCTTGTGGAACCCCACGTTGTTTTAAGGGTATTGGGATCTGTTCCTGATATAGGGCGTCTCAAAACGACCTCAAAGGCACATTTCATCATGTATTGGAAATATTTCTCATAAAATAATCACACATAAATATGAGAGATGTTTTCAATGCACTGTGGGATGTGTTTGTGAGGTTAATGTGAGGCGCATGTGTGAGGAGCAGATCCCATCTCGTTTTAAGGACATCTAAGATGTGGAGCCCACGGTTCCGAGGGGTTAAGGCGGTGTTCGGCATCGTGTTCATCTCGTAAACGGGACCGTTTCAGGATGAAGACCTGTTCGGTTGGGTATGGACGGAATCGGTCCATGCCACACCCCAATATAGTGTCAATAGGAAAAACTCGTGGATGCATCCCCTCCATGGTTTATTTTTTATCCCATGCTTTACGAGTCTCTCTGAAACCCTATTGTATGTTTTTCATTACCGTTTGATCAAAACCCTATTTTTGATCCCATGCTTCAATTGTTTAAATATTGTTTTTAATAATTTTGTCAATAAAATATTAATTGTTTTACTTAATTTTTTAATATTTATATCAATAAAATAATATTTTTAAATATTTAAAATATATATTTTTTTAATTTTTTAATTATTTTACTATTGTTTTATTTATTGGTTAATATTAATTCATTAATGCATTTATCATATAAAATATAAAAATTAGATATTTATGATTAACTGTGTATATCATTTATAAAATGTATATGGGTATCCATCAATTTTTCATCCATACCACAGCATACCCCTAATTCACATCTCTATTAATAGTAATAGGGTCATGGATAAAAAGTCAAACTTAGCATCCAATCAGTTTCATTTTTTCACTAAATAAAAGTGGAAGCCAATGGTCCATACGAAACATCATTGATTGCACGGTGTAGATCAATTCAGCTGGTTATTTTCTTTTCTTTTTTTCTTATTATTTTATTGAAGTTTTTGGTGTTGCGTTAAATGGCATGGTCCATACCAGGAAGGTCCCACCGATCAGACAGATGAGGTTGGTACCGGTGGTGGTAGTGGTAGTGGTGGTAGTAGTGATGGTGGTGGGACCCACCACATCGACCATGTACCGATAAGCATCCTCCCTTCATATTCTCTCTCTCCGCTCAATAAATTAACGGCTCTAAAGTGGGGAGTGACTTAGCGTAACAAAATTTTTCATGTGGGCGAGGGCGAGGGCGAGGGCGAGGGCGAGAGCATGACTTGACTCGGGCATATATCGCATTCATATCGGTGACCACCACCAGGCAGCGGCAGCGCATACGTGGCCCACCAACAACAATTGATCCAGACTGTCGAAACCCAGATGGAGCCCATATTCCATAAAAAGTGGACATCCCACCATCCACGAGTCCCCACAAGCATCTTGCTTACTGATCATACTACATCTCTGCTGATCGTGAGAAGGAAAGGGAAAATGAAAGTGCACGATGATTTGAGAATTGAGAGTGGGTGGGTTATCACATTCAGATATACGTGGAACTCCTTGAGCGGCCCCAAAACATTTCTTTTATTCCTTCCATCACTATATCAAATTCCAAATCCAAGGGAACCCTCGTGGTCAGCAGTCAACCAATCTTGGGGACTTTGACACGCTACTAACTAGTTAGATCAGGTTGTCCTGGTCGTAACATCATGACCATATAACTAATAAGCCTGGATCCCGATAGTAACATACAGCCGTTGGATCCAATTACAATCTCTGTCAATTTTTACAAGAAAACACCAATATGGGCTGGGCTATCCAAGTACCAGATGATTCTCTAAAATCATGATTATTAGTGTAGAAATCTGAAGCCATTTTGGTGTATCTTTTATCATAGTCCACCAATGCACCTTAACTTTCCACCTCCTGTCCTTGGTCCTTGCAGCTGAACTGACGGACAAACGGGGCGAGGGTGGGCGCGCATGAATGAAGACCGTCCAAGTGATGAATGGACCCACATCATGGATGGGCATGGGCTAATATAATACAGAACCTAAAAAATTAGGTCAAATCAACAGCCTACATCAGCACCTAAGATACTAATCGCACGTTAGGGAATCCCCCGTCAGTCTCATATCTCTGAGATAACGTTCTTTTTTTCTTTTCTATGGTCCATGACCATCCCATGAGGTGGCCCATCACGGAAGGGGACGGGGTTGGTGGAGGAGATTGGGACCCACCACCATGGTTGGTTGGGGGACCTACCTTAAGGTAGGCATCAACAAGAACAGGCCACTAGCGTGAGAAATCTACAAGTAATTAAAATCGAAACTGAAACTGAAACAAAGATTTAAATCAAAACAAACTGCACACCAGACAAAGGGAGTGTCCATTTGAGCGGACAAGCGGAGAAGATAATAAATTAGACAAGTTAAAAATAAAACAAAGAAAATTAAATTAAAATTGGTTAGAGCCTTAGAGGAGCCAAAAACAAAAAGAAAAAGAAAATAATATTTGCAAAGTGTAGCAGTGCTCAGCAGTATGGAAGATAACGGAGAGATCCACTTAATCTGATGCAATCATCATCATCACCATCATCATCATCTCGTTGTAAGGACGAAATAACGGATATTCGCTAGACCACGTCTTCGTTCTCCACGTGTCAAACGAGTGGTGAAGAGGTCCCCACAATAACAGCTAAGCACCAGACACGTGTCGACAGGGCCAGTCTAGCCTTTTCCTCTCATCTCGATCGAACCACCCAAAAGAAACACACCAAAAAGCAAGCGGGGACCACCACGGGGCCGCCTCGAGAGAGGAGAGGAGAAAAAACTGTTGGGGCCCACAACTCCCCCCTTGGGGCCCGCGCCAGCCATCACATGATCGACAGATCGTGGCCCACATGAAACCACTCCGCACGGTCCACGGAGCACCCCTTTCTTCGCTTGTTGACCCACCACCTTGATGGACCCCACCTTTCCCCAAAACTCAGCAGACTCCTTCGCCTAACACGACCCCATCCCTACACGTTCCAACTTAAACACACTCGTGCGCACGTGCTGGACCCACCAGTACGTATCTCCTCCTCTCTCCTCTCTCCTCTCTCCTCTCCCACCGTTAAGCGGAGGGAGAATGAGGGTTCAAAGAAATGAGAGGCAGACGACGAAACGAAGGTCGTTAATGGCGGAAATACTGTAGGTTGGGAGATTTTTCTTCCCAGAATCAATAAAAAAAATGGACAAAACCCTTTGAATGACCAAACCCATTTAACGAAAAAAAAAAACTCAGCTTTGCAGGGTTTAGGTTCTAATTCCCTTTAACACACTCGCCCTCTGCATTCTCACTGTTTTGAGGACGTTGTTTGATCATGTTGCCGATTATTCGCAGAGCGACCCATGAACTGAAGCTCTTGTTTGTCGTAAATTTCCAAGGAAAAGTCTCTAAGCATCTGGGTAGTGGTAGTAGAACTCGTACTTGGGGCCATAGTGGAAGTCTTGGCTGCTTTTGCTCCCGTGGATGACACTGCAGAGGTTGTTGCGTTATTGGAGACGCACGAAGGAGCCTGAACTTCAACAGGAGTAGCTATACTAATTCCAGGCTGCATCGCCGATATGAACGACGAAATGGGTCTCGCGGAGATGTTGATAAGGGGCGTCCCAGCTGGTGGAAACGTCCATAGCTGTGGCTGGTTCGAAGGCCCGGCAATGGCGGTAGTAGGAGGGATCATCCAAAAGGTTCCGGCGGCGACAGCGTTGGAGGGTATAACTCTTCCTCCACTGCTGACAGCCCACATGGGGACAAGCCCTTGGGGTGCGGCAGCAACTGCTGTGGCTCCTATAGGAGCGAGACCTGAAGAAATGGAGACTCCGTCGTTAACCTCATAATATTCACTGGACGCGGACCGCTTTCTCTTCTTTTTCGTCGTGTCCCCGTCGGAGGTCGAAGACGTGGTTGGAATCTTAAGTGTGCCACCGACGGACATGGCGATGGCGGGCACAGTACCGGTACCTGTAGCGGCTATGATGGCGGGTTCGGCGTGTTCGAGGAGCCACCGAATGGTCTCACCGTCGGACTTGTGACCGAGTTCTCTTGTGAGCTGAAAGATTCTCGCCGCACAGGTTGCAGGCATCCGGATCCTACGCCCTCGACCTTCAACTTTGGTATGCCGGTCCTTCGTAGAAGCCCTTCTCCCAGGAACCGCTGTTCTTCTAATCTGCACAGGCATGGGCATGGGCATGGACATGGGCATCTGCATCTGCATCTGCATAGCTACGGGAACAACCCCAATAGGCGGTGGTTGTTCCTCCAACTCGGGTTCCGTCTCCGTGGGTTCTTCTTTTAAAGATACAAGCGGTACTGCGGTGGACGACGGTTGGGAGGGAGCAGAAGTAGCCGGAGGCGGCGGTTCGGACTCCGTTGTAGAAGGATCAGAAGATTCCATCTTGTCCTCGACGTTGTTTCCGTTGTCAACGGGCACTTCGCCACCTCCACCGTTCATTGTGAGATCAGTAGTTCCTCTTTCGTCTTCTTCCTCAATCTCCTGTTTCTGAATAGACGCCATCCCCAGAATCGAGTCGAGTAGACAAAATACAAGAGGATAAAAGAAAACCCAAAAACCAAAGCAGATACAAGACCAAGAAAGACAAGGGTTATTATGTTGCAGAAAGACAAAAAGATTTTAGGAAACAAGGACTTTTTCCAGAGAAGGAAGAAAAGCGAGAGAATAGAGAAGGATTGGTATCGTCGTTGTTGACGTCCTTCAGTCCACAACCATTCCCAATGGAAGCGTCTCTCCTCTTCTTCTCCTGAGAGTGTTAATAAGAGAGAGGGAAAGAACCAGAGAGAAAGAAGGATTGAATATATAATAAAAAGTAGAGATTTCGAAGGAAGTAGAGAAGATAAAATAAAACATAAAGAAAAAAAAAAAGAAAAGAAAAGAAAAGGGTGGGGAAACTGCGAAGGAAGAAACAAACCCTAAGACCCCCTCCTCTCCTCTTTTATCCCCTTTACGACTCCAACCAGACGACCCAGAAGACAGAGAGAGACCACCCTTCTCTTCCCACACCGCCAAATAAATCTTTAGACTTGTATTTATCTATCTATGTATGTATATTTGATGAGTAACTAACAAATACCATACACTTTCCAATATAATAACATGAGAAAATCTACGGTCCTCGGTGCATCCATCTCAACACACAACTTGAACCCTACGGAATAAGGACACGTGGTGGGTCCCACTTTGGAGGTGCCCTGTTCAATTGGGTCAAAGCTGGTGTGGTGATGTCTCCAAAGTCCAAAGAACTCGTAAGCTTTCTCATTATTTTTCATTTTTTTTTCTCCGAACAATTTCATTTATGATTGCAGGTTCTAAATGTGAGAGTCGGAAGTTCAGGAGAGACGAGGATCCGGTTATACCCAATGGGATAGGACGAACTTAGATTTCTGTAATTTGAATTGCTGAACCGAATGAAGCGGCAGGAGTCCCACCACAGAAAAATAGAAAAACAAATGGTTTTCTTTCTCTTTTGTTTTTCTATGCCAAATGCACATCTTTTTTAGCTACAACCCCCTTCAACGACTTATGTCACATTTTTTTTTTCTTTTATTCTCTTTAGAATGAAGAGATGATTTGGTGCTTCCCGCTACACTTATCATCATACCATCTTTAGAGTAAAACGACATTTCAGATCAGGATGCCCATGACTCGCATAAAACTGGGGCCCATCTTATTGACGTGAATTTTGATTGATCCTTGGGGGCTTGGTTTAAGAATTTAGATCACCCCCTATTCATTCTGCTCCTTGGATTTATGATCAACTGCCATGATTTTTTTTTTTTTTTTCTTTTTCTTTTGGGCTTATGGTAAAAGTGGGATCCCAATGTTTTGGGTCAAACCCACTTTGTTTCAATCCATAAAAATTTTCCTAATGAAAACCAGATTTATCCCATTTCCCCATTTTCGCCAAGCTTTCAGATTTCTTATAAATAAAAATAATATATTTTCATTTAGTAATTCCCTATAAATAAAAATTCTGCGCATGCTTTGAAAACATGAAATTTATCTATACAGTTAGAATATCTCCCTAAGAATTTAATGTACGGCTGAATGCTATATGAGCATAATTTTAACTTGCAATAGATTTAAGCTCTTCAATTAAAAATATTGATGAAGCCTTTTGATTTATGGAAGTGTTTATGTGGAAGTGCTTACTGGTGATGATGAAATGGAAAATGTAGGTTGGTAGTGTTGTTCCCGTAATCAAATGGCAGTGCCCACTTTGAGGGATGGGGTGGGTGGGGGACCTGGTTTAATGAGGTGGACCATGGGTCCACCCGGGTTAACCAACTTGTGCTAAAAATACAGTAGACATTATTTTGACACAGAATTTGTCCAGTTGCCAATTTCCTCCATTTTAACATCCCTAAATTGGTTGGTTCTACCAACAAAAAGAATAAGCAGAAAAGAAAAGTAAAAAAAAAAAAGAGTGGGGTGGGGGATCAAGCTTGTTCCTCATGATAATTCTCCCTGTCGGACCCCGGTTGGACCAGATACTATAAAGTAATACAATAGTAGTAAAGTTAAAAAGAGAGTTGGTTGTATTTAAACTTGTCAAGGTTATATGTATATATATATATATAGAAAATTAATAATGTATGGAGCAACAAAGGGAATATGAATTGAAGTGATAGCAAGAATTTAATCAAAATTGGAACCTATGAACGTGCACCCTCTGTCAACTATGCATGTAGTAGTAATTAACTGAAAAAACGTGTAGACTGCTTTGCTTCAGCCATGAAGAGGATCTCTAATAAATTAGAATATCCAAACTGCTTGGGCATTTAATATTTAAATTATTTACTTGGTTCTGTTTGTTAATGTTGGTTTTGCGTATTTTGTCTTAATTAAGAAAATTTGGAAACCCAACCCCAAGGCCAAAACTATCAAACAACAAGACGTATTTAAGACTATTTCCAGCAGAAATAAGAAAATAAACAAGAGTACAACTTTGTCCATTGACTAACAAAGTCAATCTCTCTCACACTTATAATACAACAATGCAACCCACTATATAAAATGTTGTTAAAATCTCGCGCTGATAAGCATGAAAACATGAATTCTCAAGTCTGAGAGTGGTCGCTTTGTGTTGTAGCCGATATATCTGGGACCAACTTTGAGTAATGGCATCTTTTTATCATTAGAGGATGTAAAGATAATTATATCTGTCTACTGTCAAGATATATTGGCAAACCCATTTGGGGAATGGGTAATTTTCATATTATGGCTGTGTTTCTTTTAACAATGTATGAAATTTTTTTTCTCTTAATTTTCTTCGCCCTTGATTATACTAGAAAGTGAATTTGATTATGTGAAGTGGAAATTAAATATGCATGTCAATTATAAATTCGCTATTTGAATTATATATTATCATTTGTTCACTTCATCAAAAATAATACCAAATGGTTTGCACTATTTTTATAAATATTTTTACTATATTATTTAACATATGTTTTAAAGTAGTAATAGAAGTAGAAGTTGAATTTTAAAACTGCAATTCTTTTGTTATATGTTTTCTATATATAAATATTTATACTTTTATAACTTCCAACGTTGCTTAAACGACTCATTTTTATTTATTTTTTAGTCATATTATGATATAAGTAAAACCATAACAAAATTTAAGAGTTGTTAATTTTTATTAAATAAAAATATAATTTAGATATTTTAATTCTGTTACTATATTTTTTTATTATGTACTTTTATATCATTGCAATCATCTAGGGGTCGTCTCATAAGAGCTGAAGTTGCTGAACTCAAAGATTTATTGTGTTGGGGTGATGGTTGAGCCGATCAAGGATGCCACGTGGCGACCTCCGTGGCATTCCTCTCTCTCAAGCCATGTCAATACCACGTGTGATGGAAGAGCACAATTAAGAATGAGTGTTTTGTATAGACAAAGAAGTCGACTCCGACAAGGAAGAGGAAACCTCAAGAAGACTTCGGCGGACAACATCATCCCAACAACCCCAAGAGCCCTATCCATCTACAACATAGACACCCAACTATAAATAAGTATTCTTTGCTCGAGGTAAGGGACTTTTGGAAAAACACTCTTTGAATATCCCTCTGCACTATCTCCTCGACTCAAACCAGCACTATTTTAACCCACTCAGCCCGACCACCTCTTTCTCTGCCCAATTGACTTGAGCGTCGGAGTACCTACGTGGGGATTAACTTCTCGGGCCTCTGACCTTTCTCCTGGTTACAGATCTCAGTGCACAACTTCGTCCTTCCACCTCAGCCTTGTCTAGTTGGAAGGATTATCTAATTGTGTCCTCGGTTCGGAACACCTCAGATCGGACAACATCAATTTAGCGTCGTTTGTGGAAAACATACAAAAACTCATTTCCCAAACACCTTTCCGTGCACTTAAAGCAACCATTCCTAAAAACACATCCAACCGCTTTGGAACCTGCTCCCCATCTCGGGGATCCCGTTCACTTCGAAGCTCTCCGCCTCAGGAACCCCGACATTAAACAACGATCAACCCCATGCAATTCCAAGTTATGCAGTAGAAAATCAATCGTATCCTAGCCATGATGGAGATACTAGGGCAACGAGTTTGCACCCCCAAGCCACTCACCCTGCCACGCAGGCACCTACTATAGCCAATCCTCATTCCTAACACCGAGGACCCCAAAGGGCCCCACACAGATAAGCACAGAGCCCAATTCGACCTCGAACGACTGCATGCATCTAGAAGACCTGGCTCCCTAGTTGGGCCTCACATGCACGACACCCATAGTATATCTCATCACTACACCCGAGTGCCGATGAAAGAATGGCTTGGCCAACGTCTACAGCGGCTACTAATCTCGATAACCGAATCCAACTCGATCCGAGATCAGCCTACAATCCAAAAAGGCGAGAAGTTTGCGAACATGGTCCTAGCCGATAGAGACACTGATATCAAAGAACTAAGAGAACAGTTGGCCAAACTGGAGAAGCCAAGTGCATAGAAGCGCTACCCCTTCGACGGCTCGACCAACAAAGAAGCACCATGGTCAACAAATCATTAAAGTGCCCATCTTCGTCCAAGAGATCGTTGACGAGCTCCCCCCAGCCGGATGGTGACCTCTCAGTTCAAGAAGTATGATGGAGCCTTGGACCCCAACAACCACATTGAGGGGTCCGAGGCTCCATGGAGTGGCCAGAACCTAGTACGCCTCCCTTCCTTTGCGATCCATATCCTCTAGGGAGCAGTTGGAGACGCAGTTCCTAGCATTGTTCAATGCCAGCAAATGGCACAGGAAGACGTCGACCTGCTTCATGCAAGTGCAACAAAGGAAAGGAGAGACCTTAAGGGAATACTTGACAAGGTTCAACACCGAGGCCCTCCAGGTCCGAGCACTAGAGCAGTTAGAAATTGTAACCGCCATCCTGAGCGGACTATGTTCCTCGATGTCCAGCTTCTCTTTGCAAAAGAACCCTTCGCCCAACCTGATCTTACTCATGAAGCATGCATAGAAGTATATGAATGCTAAAGAGGCCCAAGCGTTGTGTAGGGGGGATGAAAACCATCATGGCCTGATCACAGATTGAGGATCCCGCCATCGATGTATCACAAATTCACTCCACTCAACGCTCCGTGGGCTCACATTCTAATGCAAATCCGTAACTGCAGCTTCATCAATTGTCCTGAGAATATAAAAACCTAGGGCTACAAGAGAAATCGAGACAAGTTTTGCAACTTCCACTATAACCACGGACACGACACCGAGAGATGCTAGGACCTTTGCCACCACATAGAAGACCTTGTCCGATACGAATACCTTCATGGATTCATTGACATCAAAGAACATAAGCCTAGAGAAGAACTGCATCGCGCCATGAGCCCCTAGCTCGAACTCCCCCAGTTAGGGTCATCGCCGTCATCTCGAGCGGGATAGCCCTTAAAAGGGGAAACTAGGCATGAAAATCTATCCAAGGAGCTAGAGTGCCATGACTAAAATGTACCATCAACCATCGACACCGAACACTAACGGCGACTAGACTATACAAATTCAATAAATA